AAAAAGAATATCGTACGTCCTAATCTATTTTTCAATGGCGACATAGTTAGATACTCGGAGGGTGCCCAATACCTGGGATTTCACCTCAACAAATTGAGTTGGAAACTCCACATCAACGAGATAGCAAAATCTTGCACAGCAGGGCTGAATTTACTAAGATCTCTCGCACCAACAAGATCCAAGAGGGTGGGGATCCAATAGTCCTCGGCACTCTGTATAGAACTATCATCAGGTCAAAACTAGAGTATGGTCTATGGATAACACTGCCGATGCCTAAGGATACAATGTAAGTAATAAATAAAGTAACCTACCAGGCATATAGAATTATTTTAGGAGCATTGAGATCATCCCCGACCAACGCACTCACTGTGGAGGCCGGCGAAACTTCTTTGGAGATCAGAGCCAGATTGCTGGGAACAAGGTTTATAATTAGAAATCTAACTATTGGCGAAGCTACAATGATCAATAAAATTGATCATTGTAGATCAAACCTGGGAGGAGAGATTACACTGACCCAAAATCATATAGACCAATCAGTCTTTCCTCGTTCGTCGGGAAGGCGCTTGAAAGGCTATGTGAAATATATATAAGAGAAACGACACCGGAAAGGTTTCTCCTGCACCAAAAGAAGGCTGGGTACCCTTAGAGCGCCATGTCTTTGCAAAGTTTCCTTGCGCTTTGCCAATGAAGTGAAGTATCTGCGGTTAACCCTGGATGAAACGCTGACTTGGAGACCGCACATCGAAGGGAAGATAAATAAGGCACGCATTGCATTCGCTCAGTGCAGAAGGGCCGTTGGGACCTCCTGGGGTTTAACGCTAAAAATATCCCTGTGGATATACACTGCAGTGATACGCCCAATGACGACTTACGGCGCCGTAAACTGGTGACCAAGAGTTAAAAATAAAACGATTGTTTTGCAACTACAAAAATTGCAACGTCTGGCTTGTCTTTACGTTACAGGCTCGATGATAACCACACCAACAGCAGCAATGGAGAATATACTGTGCCTCCTCCTCTCAATTATCACGTTGAGGTGGTGATAGCAACAATGATCCGGCTGCGAGCGGCTAATGACAAATGGCTATATAAATATGGAAAATCGACCAGCCAGCTATGGGAGGAGGCATGTAGCAAACAGCCGCTCCTGAATGGCAGGGTAGATACGATTCCGCTCGGGCGGTATAACAATCTTTGTGGGGCAGCCGCTAGCAATGAGATACGATCTGCTGGACAAAGGGTCATTCGGGACATAAGCTTCATGACATGGTAGACAAACTGGCAAGGTAAGCTGCAGGCGAACCCGGAGGTTCGCCGGAACCAATCATTGCCCCAAGAATAAAGTCTTTAATAGAGCTTCAAAAAGAGGAAACACGTAAGAAGTTTCTAAACTACTGGGACAGGACACCAGGATGTCGCCAAGCCAACGAGGCTCTGATGTACCCTGATCCTAAACGAACAGATTTATTTATGAGGCTGTAGTATTTATTTTGGTCATAGGGCTAATCACTGGACACTGGCATCTACAGAAGCACTTACTGAACATGGGAATAAGTGACACCGACATCTGCAGAGGATGCGGTAAGAAGGAGGAATCAGCGGAACACATTTTATGCGACTGCGTGGCCCTCCAAACATTAAGGTTATCCATTTCTGGAGATATCCAGATTATCATGAGTGGAATCAGGGCAGCACAACCGGGACAAATTCTAGCCTTTGCCTCCAAGGTAATATGGCTGGAATGCCCCTAATGCTGACCAAATGAGGGAAGTAAGTACAAGGGATCTGCTGAGGTAAAAGTGCTGCGGGCGGTTCAGCCTGCCTTCCCGCGAATCCAGAAGAGAATCCATAACAAAAGTTTAATAGAAGTACTCAATAGGCTAAAGCAGTAAATTTAAAATTAAATCCAGTCGTCATTTTTTAGAAAAAAAAAGGTATATTTAGGTCATATTACTTCTGCAGATGGAATTTCAACAGACCCAGCTAAAATATATGAAATAAAAATTACCCAATACCGAAAATTGCCAACGAATGAACGCGTTTTGTAGCACTCGTAAACTATTACCGTAAGTTCATTGAAAATTTTGATGAGAGTGGTCAAAAATCGTATGAAATTCTACAAAATTCTGTAATAAACCCACCGGTTTTACAATATCCTATTTTTTCAGAAGCTAATAGGTTTATTCTGAGAACTTATGCTTCTGGTTATACAATTGGCGCAGTACTCTCAAATTCTGACGATAAGCCTATTGCATATGCTAGTAGGTCATTGAATAAAGCAGAAATTAATTATCCAGTCATTGAGAAAGAACTTTTGGCAATTGTGTGGTCCGTAAAGCACTTTAGATCATACTTGTACGGTAGAAAATTTGAAATATTCACCGATCATAAACCATTGATATATTTATTCAGCATGACGAATCCTTCGAAATTGACTAAAGTTAGGATATTAGTTAAGTTAGGTATGTATGTATGTAGTTTCATGTGAGGTTGGTTAAACCACAGGTGGTATAACCAAAGCACTTGAGCCCCAACGGTCCCTTTGTACATCCTCACAGTTTACTTCGGCCATGTGTAGGTCTATTTGGAGGAGTGAAAGATGTTCGAAATGGCATCCGATCAGGCTGATACCGCTTCTCGCCTCGCCTTCAGCCGGGCTGGTACTCCAACGCCCAGCAATTTGAAGACGACCCCCAAGCCGGGCTGGTACTCCAACGCCCAGAAACTTGGGTGCATGGCTGAGTACCGCTCAAAGAGCGCAGACGCGCTTTCAACCCGTTTTTTTACGTTCACAACCTCCAACTACACATGTATCTGACGACAACGAGAGATGTTAGACTGGTTGCCGGGACCGACGGTTTAACGTCCCCTCCGAAGGACGGGGAGGCGACTCGGCGTGTATTCACTGGGAATCGAACCCAGAACGCCGGCGTGGTAGCCCGAGAGTTTACCACAGGGCCATTCGCCCCCCTAAAGTTAGGTATTAGAGGAATTTGATTTTTCTGTGCACTATATAAAGGGAAAAGAGAATTCGGCGGTGGGCGTATCAAGAATTACTGTTGACTCTACAGATCTAAAAAATATGTCACACGATGTTTTCGTAACGACACGTGCACAGCAAAATTTAAAAAAATCTGAATTTGTGGCATGCTCTGGCAATGATTCTGATAAATTGACCGCCATCCAGGAATTGTTGAACTGCTAAAGCATCCAATAGATTCAGTCAAATTAAGAAATTATTAATTAAGAAATTAAAAAAATATTAAGCGCTGTTGGAATAATTTAAAACATGATGTAATGAGATTTGTAAGTAAATGTAATGAGGTCAATGGTACAAACACACGAGATGTCGTAAAGAACCGTGAACACACATTACCATCGCATCATCAGACTTTGAAAAAGATTTCTTAGATTTCGTAGGTCCTTTGAATCAAGATAATGAAGATAACAGGTACATTTTAACCGTTCAATGTGAACTTACTAAATTCGAAGGAGCATATCCTATTAAAAGCAAAGAGGCCGAAACTGTAGCAAAATCTTTTGTTCAAAATTTCATATTACAGTACGGTATTCTACAGGAAATTGTCACGGATCAAGGTACTAAGTTTTTGGCTTGGATGTGTTTTTATGACCATGAAACTTTGGAATCTTTAGAAAACACACATAAATGAGTGCGAATTTAAACATCTAAATTCCAAAATACTTGGAGAGCATGCGTACCATTTTGGGTATTTTCTTTTAATAACAAACACCGTGCATTCAGAAACAAAATACACACTATTTGAATTAGTATTTGGAAAAACATGTAAATTGCCAACTAGTTTGCTTAATAATAATCGGCCAGTATATAACTTTGACGATCATAACCATGAATTGAGATTAAGGGCCGGTTCAATAGTTGCAAGATAATCTCGTGGTAAATAAATCTCGGTATAACTTGAAAAGTCAATTCTCGTTAGTTTAAAGATCGATATATCGAGAACCGTCCGATGACAAAAATTGAGGTAAGGTTAAATGAATATCATTGAATATTTCTGCATAATATATGAAAAACGAAACCTATTTCACGTTGCGAGTTTTTTTCTCAAAAACTATTTGACTCAATGAGGGGCATATTTTATTTTTTCGATATTCCATATACTTTTTAAGAAAAATCACAAAGTGCAAGTTGCCGGCACAGTCACAAATAGGGTACTTTTTTCATTAAACTCGCGATTTTACGAAAACCGCGGATTCGAAAATTTTCAAATTCACATATTTTACGTAGAAATGTTCAGTGAATACAACAAACCTTACCGCAATATTTTTCATCGGATGGTTTTCGATATATCGATCTTTAAACTGACGAGAATTGACTTAACAAGTTATACCGATATTTATTTATCCGGAATTTATCTTGCAACTGTTGAACGGGCCCTTAGACTGAAAACTGCATTAAACGATGCTAGGACGAGTTTAATTGAATCTAAAAATAAGAGAAAATTTAAGTTAGATAAAAATTGTAAAGCAATAAACTTTAAATTTAATGGTAAGGTATTATTCAAATATGACACTAACAATAAATTAGAAGCTATTTATAACGGTCCATACAAAGTAATTAAAGATGAATCTGCTAACATAATTATAAAAATTAATAATAAGTTAGTAACTGTGCATAAAAACAGACTGAAAAAATACATTGCATAGAAAAGAGACTGTTACGTGGTGTTATACAAAATTAATTATAGTAGATTGTAAAAGAAAATGTAATGGAGTAAATAAATTTAACGTGAAAATTTAAAATATTACGATGTTTAAATTTTTTTAACAAAAAGGGAGGTGTAGTGGAATAAATAAAATTGGAATTTAATTAGAAATAAGTGTAAGCATATGTAGCATCTAAGTAAAAAAACAATGACCTCTGCGGCTCGTGGAGTGAGCATTTTGGTCAATTGATGAGCACGCAGAGTGAACCATTACAATAATGTAATAATTAATATTGCTAGTTAGTATAAGTTTACCTTTTAATAAAGTTAGTTGTAGAGCAATTTATTTATGGATTTATTAAAACATCATTAAGTGCATATGAAACCCCTAAAAGGAACAAGTTATCACAATGTTACAGTAATATTTCTTACCTAAGGACCTAAGGACGATTTATTTGGAAAACTGCTAGCTGAAACAAGTTCAGTGAAAGAAAAAATTATCAGCAAAATCGCAATCTAAGTTTCGGCCAAAATTCCTCAAATAATTAAAAACACTCACCATTTATCTCGTTCTCATTATAAATCGATTTTAATTTGTGAGGCAGGCTTATTACTTTTATATGCTTAGATTTGCTGTATACGTTAACAACCGGTAAAATGTCTTTGTAATATTTGTTGTGTTTTATTCTAATGCGTACGTTACATTGCGGTGGAATTTGTATCGTGAACGGCGCTATAGGCATATTTATAACTTTTCCGATAATTTCATTACTTTGTCGTAGTTCGTTAACAACCACTGAATTGGCTTTCTTATACTCATTTGGATGCATTATACGTTTTGCTTTACATTGCTGTGGAGGTTTTATCCCGATCGGCTCAACACACTCCTCTATAACATTTTCGGTCATTTCTGTTGGGTGATTGATTGAAGTCGACAATGATGTTTGCGTCACTTCTGCAGGATCGACTACATCTTCTTCCAGTTCGGCTACATTTCCATATGTTTTTAAACACTCCAAAAGGTTGTCTATAGCTTTGATATCATCAGATGTCATTAGATTATTTAGTTCTATATGCTTTTCCGATTCTGTAGATATCCTTGGTTGTTTCTTTTGGGGTAAATCATCAGTAAAGTCTAAACTTGGTTTCTCGACATTTTCAGTAGAATTATCTACAATCTTTTCTTGACATATTAAAGATTTGCGTTTACGTTTAACATAATGAACACTATCGTCTGTCGTTATGCTTACAATTTTATTTAAATCATATTCCTGTTTATGTTGGTGAGCCCTGCTACTTAACACCGATTCATTCTTTTTATCTACAGCTTTAATATAAGACAATATGCTCATTTTAAGCGAATCATTATTTTCGCTTTGATTAACATTTAAAGACGCAAATAAGTTGTTCGCTTTTTTCATATTATCTTCATTACAATCACTAACAATGGCGTGAGACATCATTAACTTGTTATAATATATTATTATATAATTTTCTGAGTTTCGTTGTAAAAACAGTTCCTGCAAATACGATGAAAAATAAATATTACAGAGTTACGTAGAATGAATAAAATTAATAAGAATTATGTTTATGCTATTCAATAATTAGTGAAAAAAAAAACACCGGTAATAAATAAATTCTCACCACACAAATATGAAGCGATACGGGTATAATGTTTAGGTTTGACAGCACTGTACTATAAAGGCTTGACAGCTTAGCAAATTTTTCTTGACCCTATATTAGTCGTCATTAAATTTGCTTTAAAATGTTTTTTTTATTTAATGATGATTTAATGATTTTAAAAATTATAATTCATATCTACCTATAACAACTAAAAATGCAGATTAGGTTGAAATTGAAGTTAATATCCATTATACCAGTTTGTTTAACGTGATAGAAAAAATTTTTTTTTTTCGAATTTTTGTACTTTTACTGGTACTTTTACCAGTAAAAGTACAACAAAATTCGAAATTTTTTCTATCACGATAAAAATGCAGAGTTGAATTTAAAAATTCGTAACAAAGATATTTATGCAAAATAAAAAATTATACAGGATGTCAGATAAAAAACGCCCCAAGGTGTAACTCTGTTATTTACATTCCGATTTTTATGAGCGAGGTATCAAATGAAATGGTTTGATGAATAATGTGATTCATTCTACAAATAAACTTTTTCCAACGCCATCTTCAATTTCAAGCGATTATCAACTTTTGATTTTCAAATTGCTCGGTATGTTTTTCTTCACGTTATTGGATAGAGATTTTTTTCTGAACTCATTGCTGTACAATACATTAACATTAATTGTAATTTTAGCAGAGAAAAACAATTAAAACATGTTTCGAACATTGTCTTAGTCTCTTCTGTAATACTGTAGTGTGTCATGGAAAAAGATAAGCGCAAAACTGATAACAGTCATTAAATGATATTTTAATGCCTGAAGCAGTTGGAAATGATTATTTTTCCCCATGGCACACTACAGTATAACACAAGTGACTTTAAGAGAATGTTCGGAAACTATTTTAATGTTTTTCTCTACTACAATTACAATTAATGTTGATGTATTGTACGTTAATGGATTCAGAAACAAAATCTCTATCCAATAACGTGAAGAAAAACATATCGAGCAATTTAAAAATCAAAAGTTGATAATCGCTTGAAATTGAAGATGGTTTTGGAAAAAGTTTATTTGTAGCATGAATCATAGTATTCATCAAACCTTTTCATTTGATACCTTGCCCATGAATATCGGAATGTAAATGACAAAGTTATAACTTACGGCATTCTTATGTGACAACCTATTATACAGATGTCTTTTCTCTGCCAATATTACATTTAAAATGGATGTATTGTACATCAATAGATTCAGAAAAACAAACTCTATCCAATGTCGCGAAGAAAAATATACGCAGCAATTTGAAAAACAAAATTTAATAATCCCTTGAAATTGAAGATGGCGTTGGAAACAATTTATTTGTAGCATGAATCATAGTATTCATCAAACCATTTAATTTGATACCTCGCTCATGAAAATCGGAATGTAAATGACAGAGTTACAGCGTGGGGCGTTTTTTATCTGACACCCTGTATATAGCTTACTATAATCTTCATTTGTTAGATATGTTGGTAATATTACGTAAGTTTTACATTGGTAACAATGAAATGTAAGGTTTAAAAAGTAACGTTAACGGGTTTATATCGTCACGTAAGTTATTGCAATGATCTACCGTATAATTAATAAAGTTTGTTAAACTACATTGTGCGCTTGTTCTAGCAACGTTAGTTGATTAATAAATAAAACAAAAAAAGAAAGTAAACATAAAAAAAAATAAACTAATAAGCAAGACTTCAAGTAAAGATGAATTCAATAATGGTTACAACAGCTACACTCACAATCAGACAATTTTATGAATCGGAAGTTCAGAGTAGTATGAATATAAAAAATTTTAGTAAATAAATATTGAAATAAAATTGTTTCTTTTTATAAAAAAGATCATCTCACGAATAATTATTATGTTATATTATTATCAATTACGATCGATTAATTTCTTTTATGTATTGTTCAGAGTAGAGTCTTTACTCGAAGAAAAACAACTGGAAGTTACGTTGAAAAAAATAGTAGACAATTTTTTCAAACAGAATGAAATATCGAAATTTAAATTAAAAATTGCAACTTTTTTGGTAACTATAATCTTTAACGAAGGTTTCTCATCATTCTTATCCATCAAGTTACTATGGGCCTTACAATCAGGAGTCAACCCGCATCTTACAGTTCTAATCAAAATGAGAAACTCATCAATCTATCTGGGCAACGTGTGTTTGATGCTATTAAGAATGACAGAATTCCCAGACGATTAAAATTAGATGATTTGGCGACTTGGCAAGCCAGCCATCGGAAAATAATAGTAAGCACAATGATTTTGACGTGTTTTAAAACATTAAACGCAATTTTCTCAAAACTAAATACCTATAGGGTATAGAAGCAGAAATACAAGTAGAAGAGAACCAAAATGGTAGAGGTTCATGTTGGAGATCAAGTTACGGTGATGGTCAAGTCAAAAACCTGCAAACAAAGCTCAGAAAATTGCTTTTATTGCTTTAAGCAGTACTGAAATAGCAATAAGAAGAAACGACACCTTTCTTCTGGATTCAGGATGCACACAGCATATGGTAAAAAGAAAATTTGAAGAATATATGGTGAATGTTAAAGATTTAGCAATGGAAATCATGATTGAAACGGCAAAGAACACTAAAATATTCTACGCGAAGAAGCAAGGTATTTGTCAAGCAAAAAGTATAACAATTGAAGTATTGGTACTAGAAGGTATGACACATAATTTAAATTATTAAAACAAAATATTAAAGCAAGTTGAAAACTACATAGATAAATTAGGCAAAAAACAAGCTTTATTACTGAAAAATGATTGTAGTTTTATTATTTTAACAACCGCAAGAGTTGTTAAAATAATTTACTTTGTCTAAATATAGATTTTAAGAATGAAAGTTGTAATTAAAAATGAATGTATGTATAGAGCAAATAAAAATATAGATAAAGATATTTGGCATAAAAGGTTAGATTACATTAATAGATAGAGGTTAAAAAAATTAGGATTTCCTTGTAGTGGTAAAATTACTAGACAATCCTTTTGTAAATGTAAAAAAAAACTCAGGATTGGTGAGTTAATTCAGCTCTCGAATTAAGTTCTGATATATCAGAACCTGTAGCAACCCCTACACAAGAAGGATATAATATTTCCAAGCCTTGTTTGATGACTTTTCCCATTTAGTGATCGATAAATTATTAAAAAAGTAAAGTGTCAGCTTCACTTTACTTTTTTAATAATTTATATACACTGTTGGAAATAATTCACGAGCACACCCTATATAATCTCGCGAGTTTCGAGTTGTTCCGTCGCGGCATTGTTGACTGAGCCGCCCTTATATTACTCTGTGTGCAATGGATGGGCGATCGCGTTACTTAAGCGAGTTTGAGCGAGGAATGTTTGTGGGTATGCACATTGAGGGTGTATCGTTCCGTGAAATTGCGCGTCGTCTCGAGCGGTCGTTATCGGCAGTGCAACGGGCATAGGGAGAATGGTCTGAGGTAGGACATAGGTACACTCGTGATCTTTTTAAATGAAAATTAAAGAAGGATGGCTAGCTCGAAGTCGGGGAAAGTCGGGTTGGTTTACTTTGAAACCCTGCGCAAGGCTAAGGGGCCGGAGTAATCACGACGGCCAAAGCAGGTAGAGAAGGAATAATTTAGAATTTGTCACTACGGGATTTTTAAATAGGTTTATTGTAATAGAAACCATCTAAATATTCGATTAAATTATCGAAAATAGCATAATAAATTATTTAATGTATTATGTTTTATTAAAAAATGATTTTTGGAAAACAAATAAAAATTGTTCCTAATATAAATCAATTTTATGATGATAACTATTAAAATATAAATACAGAAAAAATATTAAATGATAATATTATTACAGTAAAGCTTAATTTAGATGATTTTCGAACAATTGATTCGATTGTATTGATTGTGCAGTTTCAATTATTTAATGTGTTTCAATTATTGTTTCTAATTTAAATCAATTTCATGATGATAATATATTAAGATATTAATACTGATTAATTATTAATATTATTACAGTGTGATTCAAAACTTCTTTTATCAAAAGTTAAAAAACGTAGAACGTTTTGTCACTAAAAGTTTTTTGTTTTTTTGCTCCGTTTTAATTTTTTCTATATTTCAACCAATTAAATTATCGTATCTCTACCAAATCTGAATGAAAACATACGGCTTCAAAACACACCACCTGAACATTATAAAGTATTAAGATTTGTTTAATAATAAATGTCAGTATTTATACAAACCAGTTAACTATTTTTTTATTTTATTTTATTTATATTTTGTCTTGCGCTCGTTCCCGGAAATAAGTAAAAATGCCGCCTTTGTGTCATTTTACAACCCTCGAAATAAAGAGACTATTTTTAAATTAATAATAATAAAGAGACCTTTTAATTGATTTAAATTAGGAACAATTTTTATTTGTTTTCCAAAAATCATTTTTTAATAAGACATAATACATTAAATAATTTATTATGCTATTTTCGATAATTTAATCGAATATTTAGCTGGTTTCTATTACAATAAACCTATTTAAAAATCCCGTAGTGACAAATTCTAAATTACTCTTTCTCTACCTGCTTTGGCCGTCGTCATTACTCCGGCCCCTTAGCCTTGCGCAGGGTTTCAAAGTAAACCAACCCGACCGTCCCCGACTCCGAGCTAGCCATCCTTCTCTAATTTTCATTTAAAAAGATCACGAGTATACCTACAGCCGCGGCCGGGACGGCCCTGTGCGATCCCAGCACACGTGGATCACATTCTTGTGATCAGCTCTATTACGTTAAGTTCTATTACTTTTATCTATTTCTTAATTGAAATTGAGTTTAAATCTGTTTGAACCATAATGAAGGATTATGTTAGATATTGACGTAACTTCTTGATCGCCTTCAC